ATAAATTCTTGAAGGTGTTACTGTTTTACAAAACTTGTAAGAGGGGTGCTGATTGCACTCCATGATTTACTGACTAACTTGTCTGGGGTTGCCTTTTTGTGTGTAAAGGGTAATAATGGTGCGCTGTAAACTTTTCTTAATCATTTGCAGGGGGCTGGGCCTATGAACACTGATAGAATTGCCAAAAATAAAACAGATGAAAATAAGAATGGAGAAGTGAGAAATAAGTAGATCATGACTCTGTAGTGGTAAGACTGAGTAACATTGTGTCTTTCAGTGAAGGAGTTGTGTACTAATGAGCAACTTGTAAAAGCAAGTAAGTTTGACTCCACTTTATACTGAGAGTATACATTTATTTACAAACAGCTAGCTATGTTCTGACCAATTAAACTGTGAAAAGCTGCTGATATCACTTGTGGAAAGTAACATAACTTCAGAAGTTGGGGGGAGGGATAGCTCAGTGGTTTGAGCATTGGCCTAAACCCAGGGTTGTGAGTTCAGTCCTTGAGGGGGCCACTTAGGGAGCTGGGGCAAAAATCAGTACTTGGTCCTGCTAGTGAAGGCAAGGCAGGGGGCTGGACTCGATGACCTTTCAGGGTCCCTTCCAGTTCTATGAGTTAGGTATATCTCCATATATATATATTAAGTGGTCTCTAACTCTGCTTTGGAGAGTTGGGTTAACTTGTCATAGCCAGTTTGCACATGTGGTAGAATTGACATTGCACTTTAGACAGCAAATATTATAGTCTTGTGTGTCAAGTTATAACCCACAAACATAAATATATGATTCTTGAAAATCACAAGCCACAAGTTTATACCATATTGGCAAGCTGAAATATATTTCTAAGATTTAAGTGTGCATTTTGTGAAAATGTATAAAAACTACATTGGCTCTGTATCCACAAAAGCAAATTGCTGTGATTCAGTGCGAAGGTGACAAAGGCATGAATGGCTCTGGGGAGGTCCACATTAGAATGAGCAGGTGGTCACCTTGCTGAGCTCAGTGCGAAATCATGTAAGGCAGCTTCTCCTATTTGGTTATCAGAGTAGCAGAGAACAAGATTTTAGGTTTCCAACCTCACTAATAAATGACAATCGTACTACCTTGGTGAAGGGAGCTGAAATAACTTCTGTCTGACTTTCCGCTTGTTCCACCTAATTTCAGAATCAAATGGGCAGAAATGAAATACTTCATGCTTCACTTAAGTTTTGTAGAGGTTTTTTTTTTTAAAGATACTCTTAAAATCCGTCTTCCTGAAGAGCCAGATGGCTCTAGTACTATGAACACAACTATACATGCAGAGGGAGGACGAACTTAGTAGTAGGATAGACTTTAAATAGATTTAGAAGACCCTCCTAAAATACTTCTCTCCCTGCCCCCCATCCAAGATTGCATGGTCCTAAGGTCTGATGTCTAGTGACTTACCAGAGCTGGAAGTCAGTGCTGTATTTAACTGGAAAGCTATGAAACTCAGGTCTCCAGTGATGAATGTTTCTAGATGTTGAGGTAATAGATCTTAAATTGGTCACTGGTACAGGATTGAATAATGTAAATCTTGGCCATCAGACCTGTGACCTCTGTAGGTTGAGATTTCCAAAGGAGCCTAAGGGATTTAATACCCAAATCCCATTTAAATTTGATAATAGGGTGCCAAACTCCCTTAGGTTTCTTTGCAAATCCTATCTCTGATTTTTAAGGCTTTTTTTTTTTTTTTTTTTTTTGACCCATATTTGTGAAAGACATCACTTTTATGGTAGATACTTTAAAGAAAAAGGACTATTGGCAAATTCCTTCTAAATTTGGAGTTCAAAGTAGCCCTGCTTTGAGTGGTTTAGTGGGCATTGTGCAGATGAGAAGGTCAAAGATATGAACTAGTATGCTTTCATATGTCAATCTACAGTTGATTCCATGAGAAGGATGGTCTTGAACTAAAGATATGGAACAGGGAGACAGGAGACATGGCTCTTACTCCTGGATTTGCCACAGATTTTCTGTGTAACCTTGAGCAAGTTGCTCTGCATCACCTTTTAAAATAGGGGTAATACTAGCCTATCGCATGGGTGATGTAACAGGTTTTTTTATGTTTGTAAGATGCTTTGAGAGCCTCAGATGGAAGGTCTTATCTCAAATTTCATGATTCTGTGGCTTACTACATGGTTGTCACAAATTCAAGTATAAGCAGCCTAATACTTCCTTTCTTGTAAATGTTCATTATCACCCTAGGCTGTAACTTCAATACTGTACTAGATCAAATGAAATAATGTATTAGTTATACCTAAGCACACTTGTAAATAAGTCAAGTTCTTAGGGTTTTATGATTCCCATTTACTCTTTCTGCCTTCCTCTGTCACTGATAAACCAAACACTTGTTTACTTCATCATTGGGAAAAGCTGTTACTTGACAATAACTTTGATTCACTTGTTACCAAGGTCTTTTATGTTCAGAAAACCTAGCTTAAAGTTTTTAATCTTGCAAAGTCAAGCCCAGAAAAGTTAAGTGTTTTAAATAATTTTTATTATACATAATTTGGCTTCCTGCTTATGCATTATAGGCTTTAGCTACATGACTGCAGTATTGCCGATCCCAAGATTGGAAAAAACCATGAGATTGGCTGAAAAAAGTTTTGGGCTCTTATTTGCGTTTGGGTTTTGAGTTTTTAAGGTACAATTGGGTAATGTGTTTAAGCTTTTCTCTGCAAACCTGAGGGCTAGAAACTTTAAATGAAAGCTGAAAACCTCCATGTAGTTGCAGGACTCCAGGATCTGGGGCTTAAGAAACACCAAATATCATGCAACTTGTCATAAAATGCATTGGTAGCGCGGTGGTTACATACTGTTTTTTTTCATGGGATTCGCTCAGCACACTTCTAGATATGGAGGGCTTTCATATACTGGGAACTGAGGCCCTCAGACCAAAACTTGCAAGTCTCCGCTAATCTTGTGTGCCTAATGATTGGTTGCCAAACATGAGACCTCAGGGATCAATTTTTCAAAGTTCTTAATGTGACCGATAGGGCAATTTCCAGCAGTTATCTTGAAAGACCATATAGCATTAAGTTTATGTATTATTGTGGGCCAGGATTGCATGTAATGTCAATAGTGGGGAGATGTGACCGAAGGAAGACCTGAGAGTTCAAAAGACTGTATTGAAAATGTCTCAGATGAATATGGAATTTTGGGACAATAAGTGGGTTTCCTGGGGAATCTCTCGGGAGAGAATAATGCAAATTATCCAACTCTAGTTATGAAAAAAAAAACAGCTTTTAGAATCTGTGCCCTGAGGAGAGGGTCCTTGTCTGCAGATAATCTGTTACAGAAGGCCAAGATCAAAGGCCCAAGCTGTATAAAGAAACAGCTGATCTCCCCAGCCTTTGTTCTTGTTCTGGATCTAAATTGAATATGAACTCGTAACCTTGGGGAAGACCCAGCTGTGGGTTTTGAAGGACTAAAACCTACCTGAGTCCTAGGCTGGGGTTGGGGGTCACTTCTGGTAAGCTTTTTAGTATGTGTGTAGGAATTTATTGTGGTGGTTTTTTTTGTTTTTTTTTTAATGTTTTCTCTGTCATGCTTTTACCTTAAGAATAAATGTGCTTACTCAGAGGAGCTCTGTGGTAATTTATAACTAGGCAATACACTGGTCATAGCCTTAGGAGAGAAAGTAAAATGCAAGTGCTGGCCTGTTTTAGGCAGTCTGCCTTGCTGGGGATATCACAGTGTAAAGCAGGGATTGTGCAATCTGAAAATCCCTGGTTAGAAGGATGAGAGACACTTGTCTGCACCCAAGAGAAGCAACTGGTGGGAGCTGGAAGCCTTAAGTGAGTGTCCTTGCTGGACCATGCCAGGGGAAAACAGGTTCATTTGCCCTGAAACTATGACACTTAACATATATTTTCATAGCACTTTACTGATGGGGAAACTGAAACAAAGCTAAAGTGCATTGCCCAGCATCATGTAAAAGGGCTATGGGAGAAACAGGGATAGGACCCAATTGTTCTGAGTGGTATTCTATTCCTGGGGGAATTTTGCGTTACTGCACGTGCGCAGAATTCATGTCCCCTGCAGATTTCTTTGCTTCCCCGCAGAAAAATGACTTCTGATGGGAAAGCAAAGGGAAGCTGCAAGAGTGGTCATGCGCCCCTCCCTGGCAGCACAGGGAGGTTGGCTTGGGTGCCTGGAGCAGCCGGCAGAGACGTAAATCACCGCCAGAGGTGGGGGGTGGGAAGAGGGCTGGGCAGTCGTGCGCGAGAGAGACACTCTGTCCCTCTCTCTCGCTATTGCAGCACGCTCGGCGTGGAGGAGCAGGGCTTCAGGGTGTTTCTGAAGAGGTAGGCATGGGGCAGGCTCTGTCCCCTCTGCTCTGCCTGCTTATTGAATTGTTCCCATTGTCTTTGTGAATTCCCCCAGGAGTATAAAACAGGTGTAAAAGTTTTAAGGCTCGTTCACATTGCCCAGAGGGGTGTAAAGGACAGTGTGGCCTTATAAATGCTTATGGTGCTTTCATGATTAGAACTGGTCTAAATTTTTGGACTGAAAAACATTCCTATTAAAATGTGCTCCATGAACTATTTGCTACTGATCTTTCTGGAGATGGTCAATAGCCAATATAAATTGTGCGTTTTATTCCCCAGCCCTCACTTGCTCTTCAGTTACCTATGATGTAGCACTGAGCATATGGCTGCATATATTTGTTGACTAATAACTAGAAATAAAGGGTCAAACCTAGCTATATTACTATTTGGCAAGGGGGTTTGGGAATTTCCTCCATTGCTTCCCATTCTCCATCCATTGTATTGTAGTTTAAATAAATTACCAAAATAATTGAAAACAGAGTGATTATATTGTGTTGTTTTGAAAAATAAAATATGTAGAATTTTAAAATATTGTGCATAGAAATCTTTAATTTTTTGGTGAATTTTTAAATTTTTTGGCGCAGAATTCCCCCAGGAGTAGGTATTCAATTGCTTTAATCCTCTGACCATCCTTTCTCTTTCTGCAGTCCCCGGTCTCATTCGCTACACACGTTTCAACAAATGAGACAGAAGTTCAACAGACAACAGTCTGCTTCCCTACACAACCCTGATTTATTCCCTGAGCACCATTCATCCTGTCCACTGAATGAAGCAGGGATCCTGTGGAAAAAATAGTATGTGCTCATGTAATTACAGACTCTCATAATTTATAGCAAGTTGTGGAGGGCTGGTGGTTAGTGAATTGAAGTTAAACAAGTAAGCTTTATTCTAGTTGTCCTAACGTATTTGATTTTTCTATCCTTAACTTTTTTGTCACTTTCTATATGTAATTTACTAGTGTTTTTTTTTTTAAAGGTAAAACAAATAGAATTATTTGCAAATAACCCTCTTGAATCAGCAGAGTTGGAACTCTGGGCTTCCAACATTGCCGCACAGATTACTAGCACCTGTGCTAAGATATTAATTACAAATGTTGGCAGGAGTAACCTGTTACCATTTGTGCATCGCCCACTAGGAGATGCTGCTGCATAATACACCATAACAGTAGGTTTTATATGCCTGAATAGCCCCATTTTAAACAGCATAGCAGATAATTAAAGTTGGACCAACTTTTTTTCATAGGGACATTGGATATGTCTACACAGAGTTCTGGAGTGAGCCTCCCAGCTCAGGTTGGCAGACTCAGACTAGAGGGGCTTGTGCGAGTGCTCTGAAAATAGCTCTCTAGACAGAGCTCTGAAGCAGTGCTCCAGATGCTGAAGCCCACCCTACTCTCTGGGTTTCAGAGCCTGAGCTCCAGCCTGAGTTGTGACTTCAAAGTGCTGACTCTACCGTTATTTTTAGCGCACTAGAGTGAGCTGTGCGACACAGAGTCTGTCAATGTGGGCTGGGAGGCTTGCTCCTGCTCGCTCCAAAACACTGAGTAGACATACCCATTGTATCTGAAATGACTGGGACTTAGGTCTGTCATATTAGAGAGCTGTTCTATTCCCAGCTGTATAACCTCTCAGTGGGATAGGAGGCCTTGTTCAATTAGTAGTGAAGTAGATAGGACAATCACAAGTGGGTAAATGTTGAATTTGAACACATGATTTCCAGGTTTCCAGTCTACTGCACCTTAGCCTAGTACAAAGCCTATTTTGATAAATCAGTTACACATTTTGTTTCTTATTTGGAGCCGTGGTTTGGCTGGAATAAGACACAGTGCTGACAGAATTATAGAGGTTTTTGGCAGCAAACTTGGGAGCAAGCTGTACTGGTAATTTTCCACCAGTGATTTGACCATCTTAATTTAGCTCCAAAACTTGCCCAAAGCTGGATTGGTTTTATGCTGCCAGGAAGTTTCAAGCTCTTGCTGCAGTGCGTGGAGGAAATAGAAATCTCTCCCCCCTGCAGATTGGTCGGAGGAATTATTAAAAGTGTTATGTCACCATAGTAGCTGCTGCTTTAAAACACACACATGTATGTTAAAGACGCAGTGCCTAATAGAGTGCCAATAATTATTGTGAGGAGTTGTGCTCAGTTTAATAGAGTGTCTGGAACTGTAGCATTTAAGGCTATATCCTCAGTGGGGGAAAAAGTGTGTGTTTTATAAATGTTGATAGTTAACACACCATATTTTGCGGTGAGGACATCGGAAGTACTTGGGTCAAGTGTCTAGCCAAGAATTCGAATTTTATCTTTTCTCAATCTACAAATAAATTCTTTCTACAAAACTAGTCCAGCCCATTCGTGTTCTGTCGTGACCGTTTCTTATTTGTTCATCACCATGTCACTTTTATTTCTCTGTCATGTTGAACTTCAGTAAACCTAATTATGACTTTCTTTAAACAGTCTTAACTGCCAGGATCACAGGAGTAACCTAAAATATCCCCTTAACCTAAGAATCAGAAAAGTCTATTCAAAGTAGATGTAAATGCAGCCTGCACTAGATCTGGCCCCTTGAGCATGCTAAGCCGCAGTATTGAGTAAAACCTGGAGTTGACTTAGTAGTAGAACCAAATTTAATAAAATCTGTGTATCTGATCATACAGTGAGTCTCTCAGGAGATTTACACAGAAGTAATGTGCTCTTACCATCTGTTTTGTTCTTTGTTTTGTCTTACCTGACTGCTGATGTTACTACTAAGGTCTTCTCAGTTTTTTTTTTTAACCCTATGTTTAAGGGTTTAATACCTTAACCATTGCAAATAGCCTGTGGCTGAAGATCAGGCCTGTTTTATACGTATTTTCTTTTATTTAATAAAGGTTACATTGGTTCAGCTGTTCGAAGAATCCAATAAAAATATACCTCTGTAGGGTTTCTGATGTTTGACTGTTTCTGAATTGGCAACAGAACATAGAGTAGCATGAAGTGTGCTAGATAAACTCACGGAGGATGGGTCCATCAGTGGCTATTAGCCAGGATGGGCAGGGATGCAAAACCATGCTCTGAAGTGTCCCTAGCCTCTGTTTGCCAGAAGCTGGGAATGGGCTACAGGGGATGGATCACTTGATGATTGCCTGTTCTGTTTATTCCCTCTGAAGCACCTGGCATTGGCCAGAAGACAGGATACTGGGCTAGATGGACCTTTGGTCTGACCCAGTTTGGAAATTATGTTCTTATGTAAGTTGGATGTTTTAACTTGTCTAAAATAGTAAATATTGCCAATATTTCAAATTGGGCTAGTCTGAAACATGGCATGGAAGCAGTTACTCAGGAAGCCATATTAAGACCTAGTTACATGGCAGTGACTACTTAGCCATTTTACTACAACATTTATTGAAGTCAACAGGAGCTGTTGGGTTTTCAGCACCCATAACAAATCAGGCCACTTATGAGCTATCTAATTATGGGCTCTTGCTTGGGATATCCAAAGGAGTTTACGCACCCAACTTCCTGAGGCCCCTTAAAAATACTAGCCTACGAGCCTAACTTTACCAGTTTTCTAAAATCTTGGCCAACCATCGTGTAACAGTAGTGCTGTTGAGATATTAGTGAAAAGTTTCTACCTATTATCTTAATGATTTTATTCTGCTGTCCATCAAACAAGAAATGTATGTAAGTTAATGATGGTGTCTCTCTAAAAAAAGAAAATCCTGCAATATTGAGTGAAGAACTGAGAGATTCCCAAGAGTGAAGAACACTCTAAGGTCTAAAGCTTTGAATACAAATTTATTTTCCAGATGTTTTCATATTCCCACCTTCCGCTTGCCTCTTAAGTGTACGTTAAGAGTTGTGCTGCTATGCAAGTTATTTCTGGTCTCATTAGGAAATAGACAAAGTACATTTATGTCAATAGAGTGCCCCTATAGTGTGAATTTCATCTAATACACAGTACTAGGAAGAAATCAATAATCTGCCTCAGGCACTTAAGTCCTCCCTAAAGTAATTGTGAAAAGCATCTTTGTTCTAGTTTTAAACACGCTTCTTCAGGCAACAAGTGTGGTCTGCTTTTGCACCAGGTTCAAAATTAATTGTGTTTTATGGGAGAATATTCTTAAAGTTTCCGCCACACTTGAAATTATGAAATTATCTCTTTATGTGCATGTGAAGGCACATTAATTAAAGTGTTCAGAGGGGGCCTGGGACTTCACTTTCCGGCCTTTCTATGACATGGTAAGAGATGTATGTTGATGTTAAGGGTTGTATGTGGAGATTTAAACATTTTGAGTATCATCTCCTGTCCTCTTTTCCCTTTTAGTGAAGAGAACTTAAGACCGATTTTGGAATATTATTTGTAAATTTTTTTCAGATGAGGAGACCCAGGGCTTAAATTGGATGGAAACTCAAATACTGGAGAAACTGGGGTAGGTTTATTCATCTTTTTAGGGTATAGCTTGTTGGACTTTATTCACATTACTGTACAGATGACAGGCTATCCCTGAGACATTTCAGGGGAATCAGTGTTAATGATTTCTGCTTAATTGGAATAGTACTAGCTAAGGGTATGTTTACACAGCAATAAAAGATCTGCGACATGGTGGTGGCTGGTCTGGGGCTGCGGGGCTATGAAATTGCAGTGTAGATGTTCAGGGTCAGGCTGGACCCCAGGCTCTGAGAACCTCCCTCCTTGCAAGGTCTCAGAGCCTGGGCTCTAGCCTGATCTCAAACATCTACACTGTAGATTTATAGCCCTGTGAGCCCAGTCAGCTGACCTGGGCTCTGAGACATGGTGGCATGGTTTTTTTTTAATGGCAGTGTAGTCATACCCTAAAGTTCTAAATAGGGACTTGTTCAGTCAGTATAAAGTGGTTAAACGATTACCCAGTCTAAACTCCAGTTTTCTGATAGCTTAAGGTTCAGTTGTGGGTGTAAATACAGACCATTAACTCCAATCACCACATTTAAATCCATGGCTGACCTCCCTTAAGCTTTCCAGAAAAATCCTTTATTAAAGGCACTCTCCATGCTTATTATCTGGTGTATTCATTAGGTTTTCCTGAAGGTTTTTCTTTTTTGCAGGGAGCTATTAGATTTTCTGATGGAATGAATTAAAATGGATTGTCTTGTGTTTTTATTAATTAGTATATTTTAAGGACTTTCAGTTTTATAAAAATGGCATCTTCTCTTAATTGGGAGAAGATATGTAATAAGTGTCTCAATTAAGAGGATTTTATGGAATGAACATTTATTTTAAATCTTGGTGGAGCACCTTGATCCTGTTCACAAACCCCAAACTATTCACTGAAGTCTGGTGTGTGAGAACCTCCAGACCATTTACTTTGTGCTACAAAGTAAATGGTTATTAGAAGAAACCTCTTTAAAATAAGGCTAGAGCGTCTTGGTGTGTGTTTCCTTATTTCTGCTGTCCTCTGACTTGTAAATGAAGTATGTACCCACTTGCCTGTACTTGACACTAACACACTTCCTGTATTGTAGGGTATGAGGCTCAAGGTGGTAGAGAGTAAATACTTGTGTTATGATGGTGCCTGAAGTCCCAGGGACCTATTTTGCTGGGGAAACACAGATAATAAGACAGTCCCTGCCCCGAAGACTGCCCTCAAACACTTGAGACGAGTGTAGCGCGCGAGAGAGAGAGCACTACTGAATGTTTTAGGGCTGCATTCAGTGACCTATATCCTGGTGTCCTTTCAGTCTTGGCCTGACATAAATGAGCCAGAGAAGACAGGTGGATTTGCTTTGAAATGGATTGTGTTAAAGTAAGGTATCCATTACTCTTTTAACCTCAGAT